GAAAAGATTAAGTGCAATAGCACCACCAGAATATGTATAGCAGCTATAGATATAAGATTTGAGATAGTTATAGATTATAATAGTTGCTCCCTTTATAAAGCTATCTAAGTTGGCCCAGTAGTATATAAAGAGATTATTATTGCAAAAAGAGAGTTTGGTTTTGTGAGAAATCTTGGTTTCAGTAATACAAGCAATGGAGATGTTATAATTAGTATAGTAGTTCTGCCAAATTTGTCTATATTGAAGCCTTTAATATTATAGGTAGCAATAGTAAGGTATAAGTTGCAAGAGTTGGGTTGTGAAGTTTGTACAGATAAATTGAAAGATTAAAATTAAGAAGAAGAGGGTGATAAGAAAAAGAGTTTGTGATTGGATTGTAAGAAGATGTTTGTGTATGAGAGATAGTAGTAGAATTAGATAGATTGTCTGATATAAGAAGTTAAGTAAGAAAAAAGAGATTAAGAAGATAGTAGATTGAATTAGATAGTGATATTGAAGAGGAGGGTTGTTTTGATTTAAGAGGAACATAGTGGAACTAGTGAAGTAGAGAAGAGAAGAATAGTATAAAGTAGTTAGAAAATAGAAATGACTTATATAAAAGGTAAATATGTGCTTTGATATAGTTATTATTATGATCTTTGATATTTAAAATTGAAATTTTAATAAGATCTAATGAGTAATAGAAGAAAAAATCATGTTTGATGTATTGAAAAAAAGTAAAGATAGTTTGAAAATATTCTAATGGTAGTAGTCTATGATAGAAGAGGAACCTGTTATAATATATAAGGAGGTCTACAGAGTCAAAATCCTCAGTTATTTGTGTAATAGTTTCAAGTTGTAGGTTATTGAGACTGTGTTGTGAGTTGTTATCCAGGTCAGAGTCAGGAAGTAATTTGTTATTAGAGCTAAAGTTTGTAGGAGGCTAGTTAGTTGGATTTAATAGAAATGATATTGTTTGTGGCTTATAGAAAGCTAATGATATTAGAGATGAAATCACATAAGAAGTGTCTTCTATAGTGGTTACCTTATACTCAGCTTGTATAGCTTTGCAAGATTCAAAAGCCCTCAGGCTAAATATTAGAAGGCTGTCATTATCTAAATCTTCCAGATAAATAAGCTTTACTGCCTATTTACTTATATCATTTTCTATATTAACTGCATCAGTTATATTATTTAATATAGTGATGGTTGTATTCATATTAGTTATAGAAGACAACTCTAAACAAAAAAAGAATTTAAAGTAGAAGATATAGTTATTTGGTCTTTAAAAAAAAGTAAGTCATTGAGTTAAGAAAAAATATTTAATTTAAAGTGTTTAATAATAAATTATTCAGCTTGTAGAAAGTAGTTTTGGTTGTAATTTTTCCTAAGTTTAGCAGTTAAAATTTTGAAAACAAGATCATAATAAGCAATAACTTTAGCAAGAGTATGTAAATCTGAGGTAGTGGTGATGAATTTTAAAAGTACATCATCAAGGCTAAAATTAGTTATTTTATTATTTTTTGCAGCTTGGTAAAAGTACTTTTAAAGATAAGTATAGAGATAAAAGATAATTTGTTGAGGAATAATATTGTATTTTGGTTGAGTTTTAATCTGCTTGGATAGCAAGTTTTTAAAAAGATAGAAGTAAAAAAGATTTAGTGAAAGTTGTATGAAGTTTCTGTTCAGGTAAAAAGATTGTAAAATCAAGTTCAGAAAAAATTCTAGATTCTTGTATAGTAGATAGTTCTAGAGGAAGAAATTGTTTAAAGGATTTTTGAAGGAAGAAAGAGTATAGATCTTTAAAATTATAGTTTTTATCAATTGGAAGAATATTACAGGTTTCATTTTTGCATGTATGTAGATGAAAAAGTGCAGTTTTAGATGAGTCATCTTTGTACTCTTAAAATAAAGATACTTCTAAGAGAATAAAGGTTAAAGGTAGAAGAACTTTGCAGTTCTCAGAAAGTTTAGTTGCAATATCATATTTAATAAAGTTAAAAACTTTGGTTTTGTCAATTTTTTTAAATTGTTTTTTATAAATTTTAAAGAATTTTTCATACCAATCTTTGAGAGTGTTATAATGTGGTTTTATGAATAGAATGCAGAAGATTTTAAGAAATTTGTTTTTAGAGATATTTAATATTACAAAAACATTAAATCTTCTATCATTATAAATATCAAAGAGAGATTTGTATGGATCATTGACTAGAATGTTGTATTTTAGGGTAAGTTAAATAGGTTTAATATTCAAGTTTCTGATAAAATTTGAGTAGTGAATAGTTTGATAGTAGTTATGTAAAAATAGATATAGGCATACTAAATTAATAGCAACTTTATTTCAGTTTGTATTTGTATAAGGAGGAATAGAGTAGTGTGAATGTAAAATATATGCATAATTGAGTTTGGTAAAAAATATCTAGATAAATTTGGAAAGAAAGTTTTTAAAAGTGGTTTGGATAGCAGTAAATAGAAAAGTAAATGAAGGGTCGAGATCAGGGTTGTATTTTTTGATAAAATTAGTAAGAAATTTAGACTATTTTTTAGTTATTATTTTAAGTAAATAATTAAAGCTTTGTTTAAGAGGTATATAATTTGGATTATTTGAATTGTTATTGCTATTAGTAGATGAAATTGGTTGTTTGAGAGTAAAGTTAAGAAGAAAAGGTTTAATAAAATTAAATAAGTCTTGTACAAGTGGTGTGTTTAATTTGGTATTAGATTTTATTTTTTCTGTAATTGGAAAGTGTTTAAACTAGTCCAAGTCTTAGAAGTATCACGAAATAGCTTTTTGACTTCTTAATTAGTTTGTTAATTTGAGTTAGAAATTTCTTGAGGGAGAAAAGAATTTTGTTGAGGTTGTTGTTTGTCTTCCAAATTAGTTTGTTAATTTGTGTTTGTATTAGTATTTTCTTGAGAGAAAGCAAGATCTTGTTGAGATTGTTGTAGTTATTGCTATTGTTGAGTAGAAGATTTGACAAGTTTAAGAACTTTTTTGAAGAAGTTTTTCTTTAAAGATTTGGTAGAGTATTTAAACATATAGACAAGAAGTGCTGCATATTAAGAAGAGGTAAGAGGTTTGGTTTGTAGAAGAGATTTGCAATTTAATAAATCATATAAGTTATAATATTCACTATATAGAATATATTTATGTAGATTTTCATAGTAGCAATATCTTGTAAGACCAACTTACTAATAAAAGTATATAATTATATATTACAGATTTAGACAAATAGATGTGAGAGTTTTAACTAGCAAAATTTATAAAGTTATACTCAGAAGTTTTATTAGATGAGAAACAGTTTATACAAGTAGCAGATATTTATGGATTTGGTGATTTATAATACTAGGTTGATAAAATTAATAGCTTGTGATGATTTATTGCACTTAAAGTGATTTGTGATTCAAACAGAAATAAGCAAGAATTTATTAAAGAATTAAAAAATTATTATAAAATTGATTACAAGAATCCTTTGTTCTTAGACTATATTGAAGTATAAAAAAATAATTATAGCAATTATATTATTGTTATAGAGATTGTAGTAAAAGGTTTGTTGTAGCAAAATCTTGTATAAGTATAATTTAATACTAAACTTGAAGATTTGCAAAGAATCACGATCAGAGTTTTTACTTGAAACTTTTAAATGCTATATTAAATTGGCCAAATAACATAGTTAGGTAGAGTAACAACACTATTTTATATCTAGTTAAATATTTATAACTGGTAGATAACTTGAGACTTAAACCTATACTAGATTATTATAAAACAATAAGTGGTTGGCTTAATAAAATAGCTAGTTTAAATAATAATAAAACTAAAAAGTAAGTTTTAGAAGCAGATAAAATTGTTAGATTATTGCTAATATCAATTATTCTGATGGCAAAATTATTAATACAAAATTAATTTCAAAGATAATTAAAAGTATCTATCTATCTATTTTTAATTAATAAATTTGATTTATCTATTTTTGTAACAAAAAATTTTTATTGAACTAACTATTAGCATATTTAGGCTAAATCCAGGTTTATTACTAACTTGCCTATATGATATATAAGCAATTCATTTACAAGAATTAGAATATTAAAATCTTTATAGTAAAAGAATTTTATATAATTTGAATAATATAAATAAAACAAATTTGGGATTTTAATAAATACTTTATATAGTACCAAAGATTTTACAAATAAAACTATATACCGTTTAAGTGCAAAATAACATGCAGAGATGTTATTTGAATAATGGCCCAGATTAAGCTTAATTTAGACCAAATTTTGAAATTACACCTCTGCATATTATTTTATGCTTATATAGTAGATAATAATTTATAAGTGTCACAAAAGAAAAACCTGTAATAATGTTTAGATTATAAAAGTTTAGTTTTATTTTATTTATATATTTGGAACAATCTTAGTATAATAAATTTATAAATTATTATATTTGAATAAAAAGATATAATAAACAAAACAAAATAAAACTTATTTGTCAAGATAATACAATTTTAAAAAAGATTGAACTTGTTTATTTATTTATTTTTTTGATTGCAATTGCTTTATATTTTTTTTCAAAATTTTAAATTCTACTATATAAATTCAATAAATAATTACTATGTGTTGATTGCTATATATGATTGCTATATATGATTTCTATGTGTAATTGCTATATATAATTATTGTAAGTGATCATTTGTGTGATTATTGTGGCCAATCATTATGCGTATAAATATCATAAGTGATCATTATGTATAAAAGGTTATATATAGTTATTTCAAATATTTGTATTTACAATTGTCATGTATGAATGTTATATATAAAGGTTATATATAAATGTTATATAATTATTATAAGCAATTATTATATACAAAGGTTATTGTAGTTGTTATCATGTATGATTATTATATACAATTTTGTTAAATGTATTTAAATAAAGATAAAAAGGTTTAATTTTGTAATTTGGTTATTAACAAATAAAATCATATAATTTAAATATTAAAATAAATTTATCACATACTTGTTATCTTATTTCAAACAATAGCTTTTTCTTCTTTTGCTAATATATATATACTAGTTCCAAATGTATCAGATATACCAAATGCTTCAAACATTCCAAACAAAAGTCTAGTGTGGCTTTTTTTTGAATCTCTTATTCTAAAAAGTGGTAAATGAAAGCCAAATACAAGTTGTGCACTAATAAAGAAACAAACCTTATTCTAAACAAAGATTCTACTACTAGCCTATATAGCTATATTACTAATGTTTATAAAGTTAATATTGTAGAAACAATTAGTACTGGATATTTTCTGGTTGTATCTAACCCTGATAAGCATATTTTTAAAAAAATATTAGTCAAGTAAATTATAATCAATGGTTATTCTTGTAACATTATTAAGGGCCTTTGCCATGTTTAATTAACGCTACGCTTCACCACGATAATAAAAACTTACACACCTACAATAAAATAATCAATCAAGTAAAAACGTTTAATTTTAATAAAAATAAGCGCAAAACGTTTATTGGATAAATAATTTTACACGATAAACTAACAACATATACTATAATATATTACATTTTATCTTGTAACTCTTGAGTCTCTACATCAATAATCGTTTT